TTGTTTGTTATATTAGTTATTTTATCACTCTATATAAGGTAGTAGTATTAATTGAGATAACAAAAACAGAGTTACAAAATTTTATTATCCACATCAACTTTATATAAATGACGTGTAAAAGGAATCTAATTGAAAATTAAGCCATGTAACCATTATTATTATTAACATGATCAGTCTGACACATTTTTGGCTGCTTAAATTTTTGTTTCAATCAAAGTTCTGAATGACTTAACCCAATCAAAAAATGAATAGAATGACAGATATATTATCATATCTTGTTTTGCATATTAACACTGAACCCAGATCTCTGGTAGCAGAAACGCATGGTTACACTTCCAGAAAATTTGACTTTTTAAGCATAACAATACTAAGAGTGACTTTGCTGCTTCTGGAAGGCCAGAGTGTAGCACTGCTTTATATTGTACTATTCACTGAGGATATGCCTGGGTGGAAGAAATTGGAATGAAAACTAGGCAACATGAAGGGAGTCAGTGGGCTTTGTGTGGAGGGATTTATAGATCTTTGCTGAAGCGAGACTTCTTGCAATAGGACTATTACCAGCTGAGAAGATTCTTTTTTTTTTCCCCTGTTCATCTAGGTTCTCTGCTGTCTGGAGAACTTTTCCAAAAGCTATGTTGTGGCTCAGTCAGCAAAAATAATTCCTATTGAAAGCATTTCGGAGCTTCCCACAGTTAGGAGTTGACTGTTTCACATAAATGCTTTTTGATGTTATATTCTGTAATTAAAAAACCAACCAAACAAAATGACCTTATCATTGCTTGGGAACAGAGCAGGATGCATCTCTATCCCTTGGTTGTTAATTGCCAAGAAATTTTCTGTATTCAGCCAGAGCACAGCTGATGGAGACAAAAGTTCTGAGTTGCAAACAAACAGGAACTGGTCTGTTATTTTAGATTGCTGATTTGCGTATGTATGAAACTTTATTTAAAGCAAGGAAGTTTATTTCTTTTTGCATTATTTTTACTAGAGAACAGAAACACGCTGTGAGAATGTCCAGCTACTGAAACTACAGTTACTGAAATGACTTGGGATTTCCCCTGTGTATTGGGATTTTATTATGACTCCAGCTCATTATAACCATATTTTTTCCTGCTGGGAACTCTTGTTTTAATCCACTGTTATGTTTCAACAAGTATGCAATAAGAGCTTCATACCGTGTTCCTCGTTGATCACAGTGGACAAATATACCAAGGTAAATTGCTAAATCAATATAACTCTGCAGATCATGTTCTCAAGAGCACCTGCAATGTATTTAACACATTGCAGAGTGGTTTGATTGATGGGACCTAATAAGTGGATTGGCAATTTAATACTAAGAATAGAGAAGTGTATGTGCCAGAAAATAAATATCAGTACCAGAGTGGCATAGAGGGACAGAATTTTGCCAATCTGTGGCAGACTTGGAATAAATGAGATTTTATTCCTTTTTACATGAAGAGAGCTCTCCAATGGCTAAAATGCATAAATAGGTCAAGAGAGGTGTCTAGAAAGTCACTCTTGGTGACTACTTGCTTTCCTTCCTTTAACCATTAGATTCTTTGGTTTTTTGATTACAGTAAATGCTTTTGTTTTTCTTTTTTAATTTGTTAAGAATTCCACCTTTTATTTGCACCCCCTGTAGTGTGTAGCATGTATCCCAGTGAGCACTGCCTTCGGTTACTGAGACTCCTAGTGAAGTTTGGTGGGGGTCTGGTGTCGTTTCGTCTAGCTAAGTAGCAAGAGTTTAGTGATGTTTTTTATCATTGTACTGCAATGCTCTAAATAACAACACTGACAGACACTGAAATACAGATTTTAGACAAGGTTATTATGGTATGTATCCTTTTGAATTCAGTGGTCTCATTTATCTGACAGATGTTTAGAGATGACACTTCTCTCAGGTTTTTTTTTCCCCACCAATACAGCTAGATATATATATTAACTGAACATCCATATTAACACAATGAATCATGCTAGAAGTACAATATGAGACTAAAATCAGCCACTTAAAAATTAGAAAATGTCATGAGTGTGTGTAATGTACTTGAGCATGTGTAACAGTGCTACTTCTGCAGTATTCTATTACTCCTTTTTTGACTAGGTTGTCACTATTAGCGGCACAATGAATAGACAGTGCTGAAGGAATGTCTTTGCTGTGTGTTAAAGAAACTTTCCCTCATGGCTTAGCTGGGTCTCTGCATTCTTTTGCTTCAGTTATCAAGTGACATTTGAATAACTGCTGACTTATAGGACCTTCTCTGATCCCCTCCACCTCAATTCCACACAGCACTCACAGATGATCAGCACAGATCAGATACCTGGTGCAAAAATGATCTAAGCATCAGCTAAGCTTGGCATTAACTAAATTAGTTAAAATTGAAAATGCCAAGCAACCTTGTCTTTGGACATTGCTACCTTCAACACCTAAAACAAAAGGAGATTCAGAGACAGATGCGTGTAATGAAATAAACATTATAAACAATAATAGCATGCTCATAGGGGCTTTCCACTTTTTTTCTGATAGACATTGTCCTCTGATGGAAGAACAGAGAAATAGGGGTTGTTTGTTTGCTTTTGTTTGTTCTGCTTTTTTTTTTTCATATTAACATAGAGGATTATTTTCTAGGAAATATAGGCAACATTTAGAGAACAGTAGCGTGGGTTTATTATAAAATGGAGGTGCTTCTTCCAGTTACTGATAGAGCTTCTTTTGGAAAGCCCCTTTCATTGTATTTTTAAATCAAAACACACGAAGTCTGAAATTGATGCATGCAGTTAAAAATGCATGTAGGTTGGAATATTCCTATTAAACACTTCTTCACCCTTTTCATTGCTGTTGCTGTTCTTACAGACTTGTAATAGCATTGTGTGATGTAATAGCCTTTCCGAAAAACCAGCAGCAACAATAAGCATTTTCCACTTCCCATCTTTTTATATATCTAGTTCACTCAAGAATGAATTTAAGAATAAGAAGTTCTAAGAAGGATGGCAGCTGGGAAGCCTGGTTTCACTTTGGGAGTGTGAGATGAATTCTTTCTTCTGAGGAGCACTGGTCTCCTACCAGAGCCTTTCCCTCAGTGGAAGTGTTACTAGGATCTTTCCTTTTCATCCAAGTCATCTCCTTCCATGAAACTTTGTAACACTTAATGACATTGCATCCTCAGCCAAATTTGATTGAAGTTATCCAAAGGGTTAAAAAATTATTCACACCATTGATTAAGAACAAACTGATGTATATGTACAAAATGTTCAGTATGCTCATTTCAGTCTTATTTTTTCTGGAAAACAGACCAGAAAACTCTCCCTGTTGCCAGTCCTGAGAAAGTTTTTCACAAGGGATTTTTTTGTACTTGGATACTTAGTTGTTTTTATCAGGTATGTTGACTTCAGCAGTATAACTTACAGAAGGTAAAACTTTCCAGGCTGTGTCTTATGTTGGTTCCTGTCCTTTTGCTAGAAAAGGTTAGATAGGAGCTGATCATTGGGGGGGAAAAAAACCAAAAAAGGCAAACAGAGCTCACCAGTTGCCCTGACTACTATGTCATTTGAAACTACACTCATAAATTGGGAGAATTGTCTAGTGGCATGTTATTACACAAGATTAAGACATTTTCTAGCCCATTATTTAATTAGGAAAACCAAGAATGTAGTATTTGGACATTCAGATTGTCTCTAGACCTTAAAGGCATACTTACCACAATTGGCTTTTACAGCTAAGAGAGCTTAGAAACTGAGAAGTAACCTGACAGAGTGAAGAAAGGAGGTTTGATTTATGTCTCAAATAGACAGTATGCAATGTTCTGGAAATGTCTGTTTTTTATAAAGTGTTCTGGAGGAATAGAAAGGAAAAGAAATAGAGGCAGTTAAAAAGAAAAAAGTTACAGCTTAAAGAAGATATTTACATGATCCCAGGGTCCCTGTGGAATGTTCACATCTTTGGTACTCTGTTGTGATGGCAGTGAGGTAGCTGTGGGTCTTTAATAAAATAGCCAATCATCAGACTTTCAATCTTTTCTCATTTCTTTTGTTTTTCTTTTTCTTTTTGCTGATAAGGGTGATAAGCAAAAAAACATGGGTGTGAGAATTCAAATTCTCATTACTTTCCTGAGCACCTCAGAGAGGTTTTCAAGACAGTCTGCCCTTTTTTGAAGTGGCTAACTTTTACTTTTGACAAAACTTTTAGGGCAGATGAGAAAGCTTCATGACACCTTAAATTAACTGAAATCTTTCCAGGCACCAGAGCCAAAAAATGTTATCCAGAGTAACAAATGAGTGAGTGAAATGACGAGTAGCAGTCCAAGGGATGATGTCAGCAACAGGAATTGACTTCAAGTGGGATTGAGGAGGAAAGAGAAGGAGAATCAAGAGGAGACTCTGCGGTATGTTGGTGTTTAAATGGCTATGTGTAAAGCCTAAACCTTTGTGGAGTCACTCTGGTTGGTTGTGAGTTTTCACACACTCATCCAAACAGGAGTAAAATTACTGTACTGAAAAAAAAGAGTGTTTCTTACTGGGAACTCTCTTGAGGCTTGGTTTCAGCTCTTGAGAGTGTGGCAGATGGCTGGGACAGGGCTTGGACTCCTGCCTGGCCAAGGCTTTGGACTGGTGAAGTGCTTTCTGAGAGCAGCCTAGATGACTCAGGAGCCTGCGTTTCTGCACAGCCACTCTTATACCTCGGGTGATAACCTTGATGCATGCAACTGCCTCGCAGAAACCCGACAGCTCCGGGAGTAGTGATTGACGCGGTTTTGCTTTGTTCTTTTTTTACTTTTCTTTTTTGGGCAGCACCCCCCCCCTTCCTTCTAAATTGTTTTCTCAGCTTGCTTGAGTCTCAAAGCCTGTCTCCTACTTGTCTTGAACAGCTGGAATGGCTCTGGACTGAATGAACAAACACGGAACAAGACTGGGCTGGACCCTGGGAGGATCTCAACCTCCAGGAGGAGCAACCTGGCTGTCTAACCTGCAATGCTGGGAGCTAAGGAGATTTAACACCTCTGCAGATGGCTGCCTGCAGCCTGGCACTAGAACTGTGGCTCCTGCTGCTTCTCCAGGATATCCAGACAGCCTCACAGGTAAGGCAGGGTGGCACCAGGATTCTGCAGGAGCCTGGAGAGGTCTGGGGGCACCCCGGGCTGCAGGGCTATCCTGCCCATAGGCTGGGTGCTGGGTAGTGGGAGTCCACAGAAAGCAGCTTTGTGCAACAAAGGGTGGTAAAGGTATAAAGTAAAGCTGTCAGAGATAAAGGTAGAAAGTAGAGCAGCCAGGAGAGTTTGCCCTCTCTGGGAACTTTGCAGGCAGGAGCAGGGGATATGAACTATGATCTGCATCTTTTTGTTGGCATTGCTGTTGTTACTGCACATCCAGGCACATCACAGCCAGGGAATGAGGAAAGATTTTTTAGGGGTGAGGGACTGTTCTTGTTTGTTTGGGTGAGTGGGTTTTATTTTTGCCTGGATGGCCAGGTGCTTTGTTGACAGGCACATGCCTTGCAGAGCTTGGTTTGGAAGGCTTCTGCTCATTCTGCTGATGTGGGTCGGGGCTGGCAAATTGAAAGGTGTAAAATGCAAACAAAACAATAGAATACCTTTTTGTTTGTAGCCGCCCACCCCTCTCACACTGACTTCCTCATGAATGGGCTTCTTATTTCTGCATCTAATTGACTTAAAATAGACAAAGCTCACTAGTCGCACTCAGCTGATGCTGTAGATGCCAGTTAGCTCTGTGCTAAGATTGTATCATCTCTTGTGGGTTTGCTTCCCCCTTGCTCTGACACTTACCCTCTCCTCCCTAGTGGACCACGTGGCAAAGAGCCCTCAGCACCTGGCATAAATCCAGGTAATTTCCCTGGCTGACACTTACGCACACACATTAAATTAAAAAAAAAAAAAAAAAAAAAAAAAAAAAGGTTGGTCAGGTCAGTCACAGAGGCTCTTTGTGCAGCTAAAGTCAAGTAGGTGAGTAACTGCACACCTTGTTGGGTCCTGAAATTGGCCATGTTCCCTTGCAGTAGACATATGAGCGTGTATTAGCCTGAGACGCCTGCCTGTGCATTGTAATTGAATGATACAGCACATCACTTGGGCTGCCAGGAGATTTTTTACAAGAATCTGACTCCAATTAAATCTTCGAAAATAACAAAGTCCTGTACCCTCTTCATAGATGTTTGAAAAAGATCCTCCTGGCTCTTTTGGTAAGAGTAGGAGTTCACCCTTATGTCTTTAGTTGTAAATTCCCCTCCCACATTGCAAGTTTGCTCTGCTTTGCCATGCTTATCTGTCCTGCCACTGTCCCCTTCCTGAAGTATAGAAGGATCACTGCTCTTGTATAGAATTGGAGTTTGTAGTCCTTACGCACCTGAGGAATACTTAGGAGGGCATTCAGATAAGCTTGTCTGATCTGTTGAATGCAAACTGTTTCAGGAGAAAGGCAATAGAAAAAAGATGGTATTTTTGCTATTTGACATCACTTTTGGTGTTTCGTTCACAAAATGAAAGGGGCAGAGAGAAAATTTGGTTTTCTGAGCCTCATTGTCAACATTCGGACTCACTGCAAAATCATCAGTTACCTGGAATAAATATGTAGAAGCATCTGTCTTTTCACTGTCTTTCTGTCTTGCCTCTATTACAGCAACCTTTGCTTTTACTGCTCTTGGAGCATGAGTGATACTGTTTAATGTGAGCAAGTCACAGCTTATCTATCATATTTTAGACCATATTCCACCTCACTTGAGTTCACAGTTTGGATTTTGTTTAATTTTCAGTTAACTCTCACTTGTTAATAACATCTTTACTATCAAGCAGATGAAGCTTGACTACTTAATCTTAGATTATCAGCTTCTTTTGTACTGTCAGACTTTGGATAGAAGCTTGACAGGAGTTAGCTGTTTTGCTGCAGTATTAGTCAGTTCTAGAACAGCCAATGCTGGTAGAAGATTTTTTTTTTTTACCGTAATATGCTTTCTTCCTGATTTACAGCTCATTTGTAGCAAACTGATTTCTTACTCTGCCTCACCATCACTTTTTCTCTGTGAGCAAAAAAGACCATTAAATAAATGAGTCAAACCTTGTCCTGACTGAATTGCAGAGTAGCCCACTGAATTCAGCACCATCTTTACAATTGCCATTATTTAAATTGGAATAGCAAATGTGGTTATAGATACAAGGTAAGTGAGAAGAGTTACAGAAAGTCTGTTTTCTAAAACAAATTATCAAAAGCAAGCACTGAAAAACCCAAATGCTTTGTATCAAATATGTTTACTTTATTTAATTTGGCCTTGATCTGCAGCACTTTAAAAAAAGAAAATATGTTTGGCCTGATAGGTCTATGAAAGCACCAAGTTAAGGGATCTCTGGCCATCCTGTTACAGAGCAGTCTGAACAGGATATGAATTGCACTCTTTTCTATCACAATATGTATTCCAGCTCCTGCTACATCAAAAACCTTTATTTGAAGTGCATGCAGGGAAAGATTAGTGAAATTCAGTCTCTGTCTCCCTCCAGTTGAAAAGTACACTGAATCCAATTTAAGAACGCCTTGTATTAGAGCAAAAACAGATGCAAGTTACTAGTCTGACTAGTCTGTTCAAAAAAATGTGGACAGATTAACTTTGCAGTGTCAGGCTTTCTGCTACACTGGTGATTGTTCACTACACCAGCTTACTTTCTTGTTAGTGTAAATATTTACCTGTTCCTCTACAGCTGGCATAAAGCAGCATTAACTCTGCGTTGTGTCTTTGTGCCCAATCCAGATCAAATACATTCTGACATAGTGTACAGACGCAGAAATAACATCTGTGAGGTTTCCTGTTACAGCTGTGCCTCAAAGGGGAGACCCTGCTCCTGGCTACACAGTGCCACCAGCACTGTGCCACTGAATTTAGTGTGAGTGACTCGGCAGCCACAGGGTGAGTTGTTTGTTTCAGTGCAGTAACACCCTGAAAACCAAATTCACAAATTCAGAAAGTGGAGTTTTCAGTCAAATGAACTCCTAGAAATGATTCATCCTCTGGAAACACAATTGCTCTGTCTTAAACAATCAAGGAGTTAGAGGGGAAGGAAATTGTGGGTACAGGGAGGAGAGAGGAAGTGGGATTGCACCCTTGGATGGCAAAGAGCCACAGGATTAGCATAGCTGTAAGACACTTATTTTCACTTTGCTAATTCATTCCTGGTACAGACCCATCCACTCAGAGTTTCCTCAGAACCGGAGGGAAGGACAAGGACCTACAGTCAGCCACAGCTGGATTCCTCACCCAAAAATATTGCAGTGATCTTCTTTGAATTTTAAATATTTTTAGAGCATGTATTAAAAAACAGAATTGTAACTACTAATGGACAATACTGTATGTCATTGGGATAAATTTGGTACTTCTTCATTGAGACTTTATTATCTTTTGCAGAGGGAACAGAGATGTGTACATCTCCTCTTTTCTTCAGGAAACACTAAGAAATGATGCCTTAAAAAATAAAATTGTGCTAGAATTTTGAATTTCCCTGAGAGAACCTAAGTTCTGTTCTGTCTTGAGATTCAGACAGGAGTGGAAAAGGAGGAGAGACCATCAAAAAAGATGATAGAGAAAAATACTTTGATTGTTAGTTAAACAGGATTTTGAGGTTACTGCATTTCATTCTGTTCCTTGCAGATATGAGGAGAGTTTGTTCTGTAAAACATTCTGGAGATTTCCTTGATGAAGCAAAGTCACATGCTAGTTGCTGCTGAGTATGGATCATACCACACTCTTCAGGCATTCCAGGAAGAAGAGGGGGGGAATGGGGCAGAAGTGAAAGTTCTTACACACAAATCCTTTCCTACAAAATATGTAGTAAGGGGCAAAAATGATTAAGTGAATCTTTTCTCACTGGCTAATTGATAATTTCTGTGAGCATAATCGAGGCAGGAGAAATGGCCAACACTGTAAGTGGAGAATTTCTTAGCACTTTCTTTTTTGTGGGCCTCTACAGAGAGGAATCGTGGAATCAAGAAGATGAACCCCTCACCCCAACACTCACAGCTGTTGCTTTTCTGTAAGAAGGTGATAGTGCTGAGGTTTTGTAATGTGAGGCTGAAACTTTTATCTGTTTCCTTTGCTTTATCCCTTCCTTTCATTTCAAGAGCTGCTTATGAGCAACTAGGACCTGTTAAGTCAAACTTTTACCTTCAGCTTCTGCCTAACAGAGTCTCTTAATTTAAATAAACTGGTTTTGTTCTTGGAAAATGAGTTTTATTAGTGATATTCACACAATCCTGAGTCAAAGTAATAAAGTTCATTTTTTTTTTCTGAGAAAGGGTTAAATTTCCACTGTCATCCCAGAATGTATTAAAAAAGGATTATTTGACTTAAGTTCATACTAACAAATGGGGTAATGGTGCAAGGTAGAAGACTTTCACTATTTTATAATTAAACTTTGTGTCTTTATTCGATATTTTATAATGCTTGGTTTTGTTGAAGCACTCACAACCAGAAATGAATTAGAAATGTCTTGATGCTGAGATTTGTGTTGGCAATGAGAGCACATACGCTTTTCCTTCCCGCTGTTTTCTTCTTGAGCCCTCATATGGTAAAGTACCACTTTCTACATTAATTTTTTCCTTTTCTCCTTACTACCCTTGTGATTCCTTCACTTCTTTTAGGTGATCCTTGTTCTGATTAAGGCTTGACAAGAGAGAGACGTTTTCTTTAAAAGCTTCCACTATTGGCTTCCATCATCTCAGTCATAATACTGGAAGCCGAATATATAGCAGGCTCCCACAGCTGAAGCCATTGGTAATACAGCTCAAAACAGGTCTATGCAGCTCAAAACAGTATGAATCTGTGCTGGGGAGGTCAGTGCTGCTACTGTTGGTGGAAATTTTTCTCAGAATTTCCCTCATCTAAACAGCTACGGATTAGAAGTAGTGGTGTCTTCAGAAAGCAGTTTCTCAGCCATAGAAATTGCGTCATGATTTGTTGAAATGAGTTCTTTTTACATCAGAGCACCTTGGGCTTGGCTCAGTGAACAGTAAGGGTGGCTGCAAAGCTGTGCTCATAACTGGATGCTTGAAAGCAGCATTTGTTGTGAAGGATGTCACCTATTATGTAGCTGGCTGTAGTGTATAGCTGCCCTCTTGTGGGCAAAAGAAAAAGAAAAAGGTTAAATACTCTCGTGTATTTTCATAATTTGTGTAGTATTTATGCATAGTTCATGCAGGAATTTATCACAGCACTAGCATGAGGTCAAATTCATAATCAGAATTTGCATTGCTGTAACTAAGAGCAGAATCTAATCCTAAACTCGTGATTTCAGTGATTTAGACAAGGTAACTTTTTAAAAAGCAGCCCTTCCCTCACACTTTTTTACAGACACTATTCTTTTATTTAAACCCCAAAAGAGACAATTAAATTAGCTGTAAGACAATTAAACAAGCTTAAGCATAAATAATTCAAGAATTTTGGTCTCGAATTCATTTCATCATTTGCAGCCAGAGCTGGTTGCCCAGGAGAACCAGGAAGAGGTCAGGTTTTTTTGGGGCGATTTCCCATAGCTCTTACAGAGAAACCAATCCAGGATGACTTAGCTGCAGCCAGGATGCTGTTGTTTCTTAAGTTTTCTTTATAGAACTAATTAATTCACTTCATATCACTGAAGTAACTCTTGAATCACCCTTCATCTAGTGACTGGTCTCGTTGTGTCATTTCCTGTTATTCAATTTAGTCTCAGAGTGGCTGGCTAACCAGGGTGCTTCTCCATGCAGATGCAAGGAGATTCCACTTCCTTTTCCTACAGTAGGGCTTCCTCTGCAGAAAAGAAAAATACAGGGTCCACATTCGTAAACAGTTTGAGTCAGGCTGAGCAAACAGACATCTGCTATTTCCTCTATACAATAAGCTAGAAAAAATGCTTTGTAGGGAGGCTGTGTGGCCCAGTGGTTAGTGCAGAAATGTGTCAGGCAGGATTTCTCAGTTCTGTTACTGAAGCTTGATGAAATTTAATGATTTCAATATGTTTCTGTTTCTTGTCCTTTTGTTAATTTCCTCCTTGACTGAAAGTTCCTGTTTTCTGATGTAACCTGGGGCAAGTTAAATAACTTGTGTGTTTTATGGTCCTGCCATGAAAAGAACGGTGTATTAAACAGGAGAATACGGCTGTGAAATTACTTAGGTAGTAAGATTCTGCACTGCATACAAAGGCAGTAGGAGACAGTAAGTATTATTTCAAAGGCCAGTGGGAAATTCATCTGCAGAAAGTGAGATGTAGGCTTTCTGAAATATTTAACTGCTCTACCAGTATCGTGTAGGAAAATCTCTGGGAAATCTGCTGATTGATTCTTTACCAAAAAACTGCCATTTATACCTTCTAGTAAATACTGAAAATGAAATTCAGATAACAGCATTTTTAGGGGATTATAAGGGACATGCCAAACTCAGAAATCAGATTTTCTCATTAGAAGACCTAGAGCACTGTAATTTCCCGGAGCATGTAGCGGCCCTATCATACAGAAATTAAGTCTTATTATATGCTTCTTGATACAATTCATAGCTGAGTCTTGTTTTCTAAGCTAATATTAGAACTTTTATGTGGGGTTTTTTTGACTAAACAAGAATCAGTTATGTAGTCAAACCAAAGGTTGTTCCTGAAAACCTTCACTCACAATAGAAGTGGGATTAGTTATTTGGATAAGGGCTTCATTGTGTGAGTATTTGCAGCATTCTTTTCAAGGCAAAACCCTCTTGTTCTCAGTGTAGGATTTGTCCCTAAATGATAAGTAAAACAATTTCTTGGGTTACAATAGACACATCTTTAGGTTGCTAAATTCAAGCATTATGACTGCATATATAACTGAACAGAAAGACATATTTGCTGCAAACAAGAATTATCTTTGTGGATTACAGACAATCTAGCTAGATTTAGGTGATGCTGACTATGACACCACCTCTTATTCTAGAGCTGGAAATCTGTTACAGATGTCAGGGATTCTTTTTTTAAATTGTTTTCTAAAAAAATCCTTCTCTCAACATGGCACCATTTCAGGACAGTGATTTTTAGCGTTTTTAAAAAATTATTTGTTAACTGCTACAAGATTTCTAAAGGAGAAGCAGACTAACAGATAAGCTTTTCTTAGTGATCCTGCAGCCAGGTTCCAAAGGGTGTTTGGAACTTTGGCTGAAAAACATTTTTGTAGGGCAATGCCACTACCCTTTTTATTGTATGAAACAAGGAGTTAGTTTCTGAGTGCTGAAAAGCTTGATACACAGGTTTGGCTCCAGTATTCCATTCCTATGATAAATGACTTTCAGAGAAGAGAGCCTGCTGAGTGAAGATACATATTGAATTATTGCTAAATACACTTTATATTGCAGTCTTTGCTTAAGCATAAGCAAACAGCCAATTAATTGGTTTGGGGATACTTGAACTTTCAAAAAGCTGTAGGCTTTTCCTTAGTGTCTCCAGCTACCATCACTTGAGACAGATACCGGCATCTGCTCTAATACAGAACTAATTGTTTTCTAATTGTCTTTTGTCTGTTTCAATTTCTAGGCGTCATTAACCCCATCTCATTCCTGTGATGAGAATCAGTTCTATGATGAAACTTCACAAAGCTGCTGTTACCAGTGTCCCTCAGGTCAGTATGTTTATAATTCAGTCAAACGTGGAACCTTTCTCATCGGCTAGTAGGAACCATGTATATCTGCAGAATTGCATTTTGTCCCTGAAGAAAAGTGCAAATCATGACTCACTGTCTAGTGTGGATCCAGATGTGAATTTGTTCTCCACTGCCCCGCTCCTATTCAGTCTGCATCCAAACAGTATGTAAGTTGCAAACAAGATAACTTGCTAGGAATTTTTATGTGTTTTTTATTGGTTGACTTGACTCTCTGAAGTAGCTAGAAGTAGGCAGGCTTAAAAATTCATTTCAACTTGCCTCAGGGTGTGAAATAAAACAGCAAAATAAGTTTCTGATCAGAGACAAAAAATATGAAATGAAGGTGTGGAAAATCTGTCATTATCCTTGTAGTCAAAACAGCTTAGAAAGTGTCTGACATGAGAAAGGGAACAGCCCCTTCTCCGGGATCATGGTGAGCTTTGCCAGAAGGTAGTTGTGACTCAGAGACACATGAGGTCAAAAGCAGGAAACACCTTGGTGAGACAGGAGTTCTGGAAATGTCTGAAACTCCCCCTGTTGGCCAAAAAACCCCTCAGTGGGTGGGGCATTTTAAGGTACTTCACCATCACCAATCTCTTGTTAAAGAAATTTTTTCTTTTTCTTTTTTCTTTTTCTTTTTTAAAAGGAAACTTTTGACATTTATTTGTGCTCTAATAATGAAGAGGGGTTTAGCACCTGGTTGCTAGCATTTGCATGCAGTTACATTGCGGTTCCCACTGGAACATCTTGTACTGCTGGCCACACCACTGGCATTGTTCAGAAGTTGTATAAGCAAACAAGACCAAGAAATGGAGAAACTGATTCCATAAAAGAAGAGGGGCAGGGATGTGACTCTAAGCCAGTCCCAAGAAAAGCTCTTTTCTCCTTCAAAATTGTGCTTTACAAAAGCTCCCATAATGATGGATGTTATAGTGAGGTCTTGTGAAAAGCAGAGATCTGATTTACATCTGGCTGTAATGAGCCACCAGTCTCAGTCATTTCATCTCTGCTTATTGAAACTTATTTTGTTGCCACATCATCATGTCAGTCTTGGACATCTCTTCACATCCTCTAGGGCCTCCTTCACAACAGAAACTCGTAAGAATCCTTTTTCATTTTAGTCTTTTGCTACTCCTTCAAGCAATAACCTGTTCATATCTGCTACTAACTCAACTGCTCACTGCAAAGAAAGAGAAGATTTTCTGAAATTCCATTTAATCAAAATGGAGCATCTCAAACCTTTGATGCAGCCTGATTCTACTTTTCTTGGTGTTCCAGCCCACAGATTTACAGCTTTCAGTCTGAGCACACTGGCTTACATGCAAGCCATCCTCTGTTTCAAAGTTAATTTCAAATTCATTTTCAAGACGAACTTCAAACCAAACCTCAAAAGATCATTCTCATCAAATTCTACAGTTGCCACATCTCTTCTCATGTACTTAATTCTTGTGCAGGTAAAATGAGACTTCATACCTGGGATACCAGAAGAATATTTTCTTTCTGTCATCACAGAACAAAATATTTTCCTCCTGTCAAGGGGAGGAACAGAAACTTTAATGAGAAATAATGGTATATGCTAGAACAGCTCATGTTATGCAGAAGCTGGTATTCCACTTCACTTCTGTTTACATTTTTTACCTTTTTTGTTTGGTTCATTTTGTTTGTTTGTTTGTTTTAGAGTGTAAATCAGATATCCAGCTCCACAGGATAGTGCTGCAGTCAACACTAAAGATAGTTTCCCACTCACAGTTAACAGCAAATCCTCAGGAGTGAATGAATGCACATACTCACAAAAGAAAAACATTCAAAACACTTATTTCATCTACATACTTTCAGTACATTTTTCAGTACAGGTGATTGCAGATGGTATTCCTACTGGGTGTTGAGCTATGAACGCAATCAGTGGAGAACAGCACCAGAAGACACTGTTAGGCAAGCTTCAGAGGTACTGCACCTGGGGCACACATCCCCCAAGGCAGGGACCCATGTGTACAGGAAATCTCAAATAACTGAAGTTGAAGCTTTTGGGTCGTTGGGGGAGGAAGGGAAAAATGACACACACACGTGCAGGTACACGTGTGTGCTGCTTGAGTGCTGAGTTTCAGCAATCAGCCCCCACCTTGAAAAGAACAGTCTCAGACAAGTAGTTTTGAGGAGGTGGGAGTGACGTAGTTCCGGCTTGTCTGGTGGTATTTGGAGTGGTTTAGTGGCCAAATATAGCACAGCTGTTTTTACCTGCACTCCTACATCATACTTACTAAAATGCATAGTAGGTGAGTTATTTCCCTGCCAGGTTCCCCCTCCCTGTGGTTATCTCTGTGATTGGGTGATGCAGGCTGGATGCTGAAAGTGGGATTTATTTCTCTCCTGCTGTTTTCCACCTGTGAAACATTCAACTGTGCCTATCTTGATGTTGCTGCTTTAGCTTTTCCTTTTGCTTTGCAACTGCTGCTGTTCCTTACCCTCCAGTAGTTATTTCCACCTCCTGGCAAGGCCACCAGGTCACAGCTGACCTCTGTGCCTTCTAATTTCTTCGGCATTATGGCTGGTGGTAGAATGCCTCATCTATTGCTTCAGGAGCTGAAATGTTAGGAATGCCTCTGTCACAGCCTTTCCCATACTCCTAGCTGGCTATTGTACCTAGCTTGCCAGACAGAAGCTTTTAAAAGCTTCTAGAAAATGATTACCAGACATAAACAGAGTCATGAATAGCTTAAGTTTGGGAAAGACCTCCAGAGGTCATCTAATTCAGCCAGCTGCTCGATTTAGTGCATGCTGCATATACACAGGTCTGCAAGATCCAGGGCAGTGTGCCTGCAAACTCTGTGCAATGGGTCCAGGTGAATTGGAAGTGCTGAGCAGAGGAAGTGTATCCAGCATCAGAAAGACATACATACATAATCTGACTTGTTTGAAGGAGAACAATCGGAAAGTTAAACCATCTCACAACTGTCAAGGCAACTGTAAAACTAGCAGGACTGCTCAGAAAGCAACCTACTGCAAACCTGCCAGGGGTAGACAGGGCACAGCTCAAGAAGTACTTACCATCTTGTTACCTCCCATTCTGAACATGGGAGATGGGGTTGTCCCTGCATGAATCCATATGCACCTAGAAGATTCTGGCAGCTTTTGAAGGGAAAATTGATGCCTTAGGTAGCAAAATATCAGGACTTGATTTGCTATAGTCAAGATGAAAACATGAAAAAGAATTGCTTGGGAACTTAGTAAGGGCAGGACAATACTGCCCTCACTGCAGACTTGGTGGTCTTTTCTGACAGCAACTGACTGGCATGTGCCCATTCTGCAGCAATCCATACTGGCTGTGATAACACCGTGCACGGCGTTGCTGTGACAGGACGGCTGTGATCCTTTCACACTTGAGTGGGAAAGGCACAAATGTGCTAGAGAAACCAAGTGGCAGGTACAAAGAGAGACTGTGGTAGTGTGTCTAACAGGTAAATGAGCATACAAGAACACTTCAGGATGGTCGTCTCCTGTGATTCTGAACAGGTATCCTGTGTATTTTGTTTTAATTTCTCCAGGCTATGTTAAAAAGAGAGCATGTCCTAGGGACCTAGGTGAAGACTGCATGAGATGTGGACCCGAACAATATGTAAATGAAGCATTCCCAAAGCCACGATGTGACGCTTGTGTATCATGCGCAAAAGGTTTGCTTTCCCACACAGTTATGTTGTCTCTATATATTTTATTTACACTTTATTTCAATTTTTTTTCATTTTGAATTTCCAGCAGCAAAATTATCCATCCTTGGTTACTGATTAGTTATGTGCTACCTGGCACATAATCAATATTTCTTCCTGTGTGACCCAAGACTACCTAAAAATTCCTTCATCCAATGCTATCCAAGTTGGATTTCTGCTTTCTGTCTTGTATTACAAGCGATGTCTGTGGGCTTCTCCAATTATTCATGGCTTCAGTTTCCATTGTAAAGAGTGCCAGAAGCCTGTTCTGCTTCCTGAGCCTTTGAGCTCCTGCTTTGCATTTTCCTTGCAGGGTGATCTTTTGTTACCTCATCTGTTTCTTCCCCACAGAACCTGACCTTGTGGAGAAAGAGCCCTGCTCCTTCAATTCAAGCCGTGTGTGTGAGTGCCGCCCAGGCTTATTCTGTCAAACCACAGTTCTGAACACCTGCATACGATGCCAGCAGCACACAGTTTGCAAGCCTGGTTTTGGAGTCAAAGTCAAAGGTAGGAATTCCTACCTGTCTAGCTTACTTTTTTTGATCTTGGCCATATGGCTGGACCTGATGCATTTTGGTTGGTTGGTCCTCAATTATTATTTTTATTCAGGCACCTCAACAACTGATGTTATTTGTGAACAGTGCCCTTCTGGGACCTTCTCTGATCAAAACTCCAGCACTGCCATCTGCAAGCCCCACACAAAGTAAGTCCATAGTTCTTTAAAGTGACTAAATAATTAAAGTTAATAAAGGACAAAAAGGGACACCTTTGTGCTTCTGGTGCAAAGTGTACAAATTTATCTCAGAGGCAGTGGATAGCTTTGGGCCTCTCTTTGTACCTGTTTGCACAGCTCTGTACTAGATGAAGGAAGGAAAGTCCCTCTTGCCTCATTTTAGTTTATTGAGTACAGTGGAATTATGCACGTGTGTGACTATCAGGTTTGCATCCAGGTCAAGAATTAATGCCACAGGGGTGAGAAGAAGGTTAATGACTTTTTCGTGGAAAGCAATTAATGCAGGTAGTACAAAAATGACCACAGGATGTTTGTCGCGTACAAGGTACTCTTGTACCTGGTACTCTTGTACATGGTACCTGCACCATGGCAGCTTCCTCTAGCCTGATACACTGTTCTTTCTAATTCCCTAGCTGCACCGAGTTAAACAAAGTAGCACTAAGCAAAGGAAATGCCACACACGATCAGGTTTGCCTGGACCAATCACCAACCTACCTCACTCCAAGCACTTTGTCTGTAAGATTCAGCAATGAAACAAGTAACTCTGGCCGAAGAAGGCTTGGGGAGAACCTGGTGACCGTTACTAGTATGGTTTTAACTGCCACAACAACTGAAACCCTCAGTTCAACTCCTGAGGAGAAAGCTCTGGCTGACACTTTTCCTACCTCAGCCAAGGGGGTGACGACAACAGGAGGTAACAAAGATAAAGCATTTACTCTGTCTGGTGTGTTTTATTTGACTATATCTTTGCTAAATGCATTTCTTATGTGGGAGCTTCCTGCAAATCCCCTGTGACTTGTGAAATGTTGTCCATGGTTCTATGTCCAAACATACAGAGCTACTAATAGTTCCCTGTGTCACTTCCCTTAGCTTTTCCTGTACTCCCTTTCTGTGCTACAGGTCTAGTTCTTTGGGGAGTGATTCTCTCTGTGATTGTGCTACATGTGGGCATGCTGTTATTTTGCAAATTGAAAGTTTGCAAGAAGCGGATCCTCATCCTCAAAGGAAAGCGTGAGTTTTTAAAGCTGTAATACAGAGCATGCTGTTTGATCTCCAAGTATGTGCCAGCTGGGAACTCAAATATCACAACATTTTATGGAGGTCACTGGGGAGGAGAACGTTTACTGCTGCCTGGTGGAGGCAGGTCAGATAAGGGTTTTAGGCAAACTGTTCATGCAGTGTGTTGGAGAAGATGAGAGAAAGGTTGAAGCAGCTATGAATTTATGGAGGAGGATACTACAAGCTGGGTGGGGAAGGGATGAGCAGTGGCTTCATCTCTCAGAACAGACACTAATATTAAGTGATAGCTGAAGTGTTTTGCGAGTATTTGTTGGTTCCTTGAATAGGGTTGGACTTTGAGCATGAAAGAAAGAGTGATTTTTACTGATACTGACTCTCTGTAGCTTTGCCTAGAATTACATTTGGGGTGTGCCTGCAGAACCACATTCCCTCTTTAATAGAAAGCAGAATCTGCACCTTGTAGATTGCTTGTAGACCTGTGGGTGTGGTAAAGCTGTTAGAGCCTGTATGTTCCATGATGAGTTTTCCTCAATGAATGGTTTCTTTTATCAGCACATCTGCGTTTTGTCACTTCAGACAAATCTGGGCTCAAATCTCAAGGTAAGTGACTGATGGACCAGGAATTCTAATCCATATGTCTAAAGAATAAGTGGATAACTTTAATACAGAACTTTATTTTATGGAATTTTCATTTAAAACGTGGAACTTTTTCATGTAGAAGGCCAGTCCTGTTGTCTGTCCTGCGCAGGCAGGTGACGCGCTGGATGTGACAAGTCACTAGATGGCACTTTTTTCCCACTGCACCTGCATGGTTGGGCCGTTTGTCAGTGCAGGGAGGCTTTACTGGAAGAACACCTATTTAATTTCTGGGCACTCAAATGTGAGAGACGTGTTCCAAAGAAAGTGGGTGTTACCCATAGCAACCTGTACAGATCCCCTAGAGTACACGCATTTTACCCAATTAACCACTCTGCTCTCAGCACTTCTGTTTCCACTGACAGATCTATTTGCTTATGTTGTGTTAGATTCTCCTAATTACCACACATAGGGGCTTTTTCTACTAATTTATTAAGGAATGCAATTCAACACATCTTGTGTGCAGCTTAATTCTCTCAAAGTGGAATTTTTGCTTCCTCACTTGCCTTACACGATAGAAACTGTTACTGTGCAGCATTATAGAGCTGATGCATTGAAAATAAAGGTGGCTGCATCTCCGGGTGAAATTAGGTAGTAGGTCTAAGCCCATCTAGTTAATGGTACAGCAAAAGGATGCTGTACACTCCCTTCTTCCTACCTCTTCTCTTTCTTCAGTGTTCCTTTCCTCCATCCTTGCATAAAATTCCCCCATCCCCTTAATATTCATCTGACCAGATGATGAACTGATCCAACTTGTTAATTCAGTAAGAAGTTATTAGTATTTTTTTACTTTTTTTTTTTTTAATTAGCCTGTCTTCTGCTTATCTAGAAAGTTTAATCAGTTCATAATTTCATTAGAGTAATACCAGTTGTGGTGTGGGGCGAGTGATAGGGCTGGCCACAAAGGGCTCTGGGGAGAGCAGGATGGTCTTGGCAGCAACATGTTGCTGGTTCAACTCAGCCATGTCATTTAAGTGTGCACTCAGTGATAAAGAAAGCATAATGCAGGTGAGTTGGGCAGTAGTTTAGGACATGGCTAGGTGATCTTTCAGGTCAGATATTAACTTTCTTGTGATTGCTGTGAATTTTCTTCTGATAATTTTTCCTCTTTCCATTGCAGGTTCTGATCTACTGAACAAATGTGCAGTAAGTGTGAGCAATATTCCAAAACAGATCACTTTCCATTCCAATGTAAATAATTATATTTATAAATGTCCTGTTAAAGAGTGCCAGCCTTTCCTCTACAACATGTGATACTCTAGGTACAATGATGAGATGTACTAGGACTGGCTCCTTTGATGCCTTGGGCTGTGTTTAATGTGGTGGTAAATAATGTGATGCTGCCGATCTCGCTTGTGAAGGGAGTATTTGGTTTGTTCTTAGGCCATTCATGTTGTGTTCCATAGGACAAGATCCAAAATCACAGGATGAACATGCCTTTTCCACCTTCTGGGGGAACTTTGTCAATCCCATTTTATCTTACTGTTGCAGTCACGCAAGTGGGATTTGTACTCTTCTGTCTCCCCTTGTGTCGCCTTCCCTCTTTGTAGGATTTGGCATGACTGTAATATGGGTACACAGTGGGTATTGTTTGTCTAGAACACTTTCCATCAGGACCAGCTTCTGGGTTCCTCAGCTGCTGAAATCATCACAGCTCTGTTTGATTTCACCACTTGCAATGAAATTACAGCAACTTTCATCCTCTGAGTCTTCTCAGTTTATTAGGTTTGTTATCTTTAACAAGTCCATGCCTACTCTTTAGACTGTTGTTTTTAAAAACTCAGTTTGCTTTTAAATGTTTTACATCTGCACACATACAAGATACTACTTGTTCTAATAAATGTTTGAAATCAGCTATCATAATTTCAGTGTGTCATTACTAATTCCTGAATTGTCGGGAGCTTCCACTATTGCATTCATAGCAAGTCAGATATGAGCAAGAGTTTTAAACTGCACATTTCAAAATCTTACTATGTTTTTCTTTTTTCTTTTCCAACCTTGTGGAAACAGAAACAGAGCTAGGAACCATCAAACATTTGTGATGCAGGACCTTTAGCCTCTCTCAGATTCCAGCTCCTCTTTTAAATTACTGTAATTAATTCTTCACATAGTAGCTAGTCTGAACTTGTTTCTTCTACCTGAGGTTCTGCTGAAGCACTTCTGTTTTAAGTTCAACCAGTTCAACCTCTGCCTTGTTTTGTTCTTCCATAGGAGCCTGGTAGGTCTTTGCAAAATCTAAGAGGAAGTTAAACCATATATTTTCAGTTTTGACTGTTTGACTCTGTCCCCATATGACTACACATCTGTATGGGTTTGTCCTCTGATACTTATCTGGCAAGTAAATATGAAAAATAACTTGTTGAAGTTCTTTCTGAGCAAATCCCTTAAAATTCTTACCTCCAGCATCTATGTTATTGATGTTATACTCTTTGCTGAAGAGTGCTACTAAGCTTCAGCCTTTGAGAATGCAGTAGCTACTGTAACATCAAAATGACAGATAGGTGGATTTACAAAGGCTCATCAGCATCTAAACTGCAGACAAGGCAGCGGAATTTACCAAAGCATCCAAGCAGGTCCAGGGAACTGCATTTCAGTGGAAATGTGGTACGTTCTTGCAAATGTCATCGAAACTCTGTGAATTTAGCTTAGAAATGCTATTTTTAAATATGGCCTTAAATGATGCAGGAACCTAGTTCAAAGAAACTTAAGTCCCTATATCAGTTAGGTACCTTGGAATTTTTTATGCCCTGTGACAGTGGTGCTATGAAGTACATTATATTGTTCTGACTGCCACAGAAAGATTCTGTAGACCTATTGCAATCTTCATAGTGTTGTTTTTACATTCACCCCACTTCTACTCTCTTCTTTGTATTGGCAGAAGATCATGCTGACTGCTGACAGTGTGCCAGAGGAGGAAGAGCTGATTGACAGAACCCTTCCTTTGGAAACCAACAATAACTTGGTCTCCAGGACAGAAGTGTATACTCCTGATCTGAGCCTGACCGATGTGACACAGAGCAATGGAAATGCCCCAGATGGGCCTATCGACTCTCGAGTGAGAGACCACACAAATAATCGAATTGGTGAGTCTGGAAGTCTTGCCTTTTTTTTTGTTTGTTTGTTTGTTTGTTCCTCTTACCTTTTTAGTTTTTCAGCCATGGGCACATAATGTCATTCTGAGATTATTAGTAAACTGGAAAGTGTCCAAAGCTTCTAACAAGGATTGCAGCTGAATCTCCAGAACCTTTGACACACAAATTCTGGTATATCTATTCATTTCAATATAATGCTATCTTATTTTCACATTTGCCTTAGTCACTTAGCAACCTGGCAGAAAAATGCTCCTCTTCTTCTTTTTCATTCCAGAAGATGTAAATTTGCAGAAGAAATTTGAAATCCAAAATATACCAGCTGGAAAATGATGCTGTAATACTTAATGAGAGTTGTACTTCATATGTCTCAAGATATCATTATCTTGGTTTCCCAGTGATAGTTTGAAATGTGTCTCCCACATCTTTCCATAAAGTCTTTGACCATGGCACGGGGTAGGAGATGAAGTCAGGCAAGGAATGTTACTCATCGGGGGAGAATTCTTACCTGAGACACAGGCTACTTGAGACATTCTGGCAATGTTTCCAAACCCAATTTGGAGGTTATTTGAAGGTTTGGTGGTTTGTTTGGGGTTTTTTTTAATTACTAGAGCTGACCTTTCCTTACTAAAAGCTCTTTCTGTTTTTTCTGTGAGTGATGGACTTGGGATGAATGTGATGATTTGACTTGCCATACCCAAATATCTCCAAGCAATTGTGAACAATAACCTACAGTGTCTGATCTGCAGCATCCTTCTGAATAAAATGTAGTGGGCCCAGCCATAGCAAAGGTCTTATTTACCTTTTGTAAAGGAGTAGGGTCAACAAGTTGGACACAGGATTCAAGTCTATCCCAGAAAATTTTACAGTTGATTCTCTGCTGGAAAGCAACTCATTTCTTTGCTGGTCCTAAGACCCCAGATAATTACCCAGAATATTCATACAGTGCTGATCCTTGCCCAAAAGCTGCTTTTGATGCAGGTATTGCTGCTTCTTGAAACAACAGGAGCATAAACCTTGGATTCTCCATATCTATCTTCCTCAGATCCTGATTAATTGCTTCTTCTAATAGACTCCTGTGAATATCTTACTGCCTTTTCTGATTTGTCTTTCTCTTGTAGTCCTAGCTATAGCGCAATGGCTTCATCACATGGGACTAGATCTACTTGATCTAAAATGCCCAGAGTCCCCTTGACAGTGATCCAAAACCACAGTGTGTTGTAACACGTGCAGACCTTCTTTATCACTTATTATGTTCAGTGCTTTTATTCCAAAATTAAAAGCACATTATAAATATACAATGAAATAGACAACTTACAACGTGTGAATTCCAAAAGCTTTAGTGTCCTAGTGAATTCTGTGTTTTCACAGTGCTGGGCTTGATCTGCATGCCTCTGAGTAAAAAAAGAATGGGGGGTTGGGGGTGGGGAAGAAAAGCTGAGTACCAAGTAAGAATTTTGCATGAAAAGAAACCATCTCTAGGGTCAGCAGTGATTGTTAACTACGCTCAGCACTATGTTTTTCCTTCCTCAGAAAAACTATACATCATGAAGGCTGGCACTGTTATTGTGGGGTCCATTTCAGAGATGCCTAGTGGCAAGAACTGTGCTGCTAGAGGATGTGAAAGTAATGTTGATGCCCAGGAAAACATGGAAGAGGAACTGTCAATGCACTATCCAGAGCAGGAAACAGAGTCTTTTCCAGGGAATGATGTAATGGTTCCTGTGGAAGAGGAGGGAAAGGAATTTCATCACCCCACCACTGCCACTGAAAAGTGATAACCCACTGAGAAGACACATGAAGCTACAGAAACATCCAGTGTGACACTAAGCCTGAATCTATGACAAGGGAGGTAAACACATAGTGCCTTAGGATCTGAAAACTCATTTAAAACACTGAAACACATTCAAACAAGGAGTGCTAGAACCTATTTCATCTAACAAATGGGAGGATCGTCCAAACCGTTGGCCTTCATAGCTGACATCAAATATTTCTCTT